AAGTTTTATATTTGTTGATTTTTCCATGAGAAAAGGAACAGAGGGGAGTAGTTGGGTGTACACTAGTGGATTTTTGAACAAAACTTTTCATTTCAAGAGCATTCATTCCTTTTTCTAATCATTAGTGGAGTGAAATTGATGTTTATTTTTTTTTACCATAGTGACATGGAAATTCAAAGGAGCAGGATGGAAATTTTTCCCAAGCAAACATTTTCTAACAGTGGGAAATTACATTCAATCCAGAATTGAATGTTAAGAGCAAATTAAATTTTGAGCATTCGTCAAGCCATTTAATGAACTGAGAATTCTTATACGGAGTTTCATTCAAAAATCTGCTAGTGTATTCCTAATTCTATTGAGCTGTTTGTGTAATCTGATTTGCTGCAGTTCAGATCTAGACACAATATCAGCTATCTAGGTCTATTCACAAATAGAAGAAACCAGCTTTCGAAAACCTTTCTGAAATGAGCTCATACTTGCCACTTGCTGATTGTGGGAAGTACATAATGACATATCCACACACAGAATTTCACATATAGCTTACTAAAAAGAAATAACACAGATGTTAAAAGTAATTTTTTGTTGAAGATAATATGGAGTTAAAAGAAATACTGGCAATAACACAACATATTTATTTTATAAAATATATCATAGCTCTATCTTACAATATTCCTACTTATACTGGATAGAGCTAACTACGGGAGGCCAATAGATCCATTAGGAAGGGCATCACACTACAATCTAAATGCAAAACAATCAGGAGAGTCGGCAGCTTTCCTCCACATACGGCAATGCCATTCAGGATTACACGTTGAAGAGGCCGGAGATTTACTGATAGAGGTCACAAGCCGCATTTATATGCCAGCTATACAAATCAGACTTCATCTTTGTTATTGCTAATAAAACCATTATTTTACATAAAGCATGTGGAGGAGCATTGGCATTTGTGAACCTGAGTTAAAATGTATATCAGTTCTATACTTACATTTGGTACTGTATGTGCTGAGTATTGTTGGGCTTGATGTTTAAGTCGAACATAAGTTGAACTTCAATCGGCTGTTTGTGTGTTTAGTGAATTGTGTGTTTTGTGAATTGTGATTGGCAAAATCGATGCACCTGACCACAGGTCAGGTGCAATGCTTTAGCCAATCACAGCTTTGGCCAATCACAGCACATGATCCCAGCGCAGCTGTCATACGGTGGGAGCCAGCTTTGAGAACAAAGCTATTTTTTTTTCTTTTTTTCAAGTTGGCGGTGGCGGTGGGCATCGTGATTGACGTTAGATCTACTTTGGGAGACATTTTTTTTTTATTTTTGTTTTTAATAAAGCATTTGTCAAAGACTGTCTACTGTCATTTTTTATACTACACTTTTTTTTTGTGAATGAGTAGTGGTACCTTATTAAAGAGGGCTTCCAGATTCCGATAAGCCCCCTGCCTGCAGACTCCCACAACCACCGGCCACGGTTGTTGGGAAGAGGTCATCAACATGGGGAGGCCAATAGGTAATTGATAATTAATTCAAATATATTCCTCAATTGCCACAAAGATAGAAACCCACTTTGAGTTCAAATTGCATTTTCAAACCCAGATATCTCCTTGTAAAAGTAGTGGTGATATCATCAATGTACTGTGCATAGTCTGTGCAGACAGCGGAGCTGTGGGAGAGGGGGAGGGGGTCCCTTTTAAAATGTATACCAGACCAAAAGGGCTTTGTATGGATGGGGGAGGGGACTCCACGCTGTTTATTTTCAAACATTTTTAATTGTCGGGCAATGCTAACAATTCTTTTGACATTCAGCGGGCAACCCGCTGACAGCTGAAACATGAATGAATGTTTCACTACTAAAATACCGCATGACTTAATAATATAACTCATGCTGTATTTTAGTAACTGAGCGATATCTTACCACATACTCAGATGCGGTAAGATACCGCTCAGTAAATTGTCCCTTTTCGAAGTTCGTGGTCAAACTTTTGGTAGGTTCGAATGTTCGACCGCAAACCGAACAGGGGATTGTTCATCCCATCACTAGTTATATAGGTGCGCATTTGTGAGGGTCAGGCACTGATTGTGGATGAGAAGGTCTGGCGCTCAGTCTCTACTCTAATTCATCCCAAAGGTGTTCTATCAGGTTGACATGCCAGTCAAGTTCCTCCAACCGCAAACTCGCTCATCCATGTCTTTATGGACCGTGCTTTGTGCAATGGTGCGCAGTCATGTTGGGACAGGAAGGGGCCATCCCCAAACTGTTCCCACACAAGTTGGGAGCATGAAATTGTCCAAAATGTCTTGCTATGTTGACGCCTTAAGAGTTCCCTTCACTGGAACTATGGTGCTAAGCCCAACATCCGAAAAACAACCCCACACCATAATCCCCCCTCCAACAAACTTTACAATTGGCACAATGCAGTCAGGCAAGTACATTCTTCTGCCAACCGCCAAACCCAGACATGTCCATCAGATTGCCAGACAGAGAAGCTTGATTCTTCACTCCAGAGAACACATTTCCACTACTCAAAAGTCCAGTGGTGGCGGGCTTTACACTACTGCATCTGATGCTCTGAATTGCACTTGGTGATGTAAGGCTTTGATGCAGCTGCTCAGTCATGAAAACCCATTGCATGAAACTCTCTACAGACTGTTGTTGTGCTAATCTGAAGGACACATGAAGTTTGACTATGCAGACAGTTGGCGACTTCTACGCACTGTGCTCTTCAGCATGCGCTGACCCGATCTGTCATTTTACATGGCCTACCACTTCGTGGCTGAGTTGCTGTTGTTCCCAGTTGCTTCCACTTTGTTACAATACCACTAACAGTTGACCGTGGAACATTTAGTAGCAAGGAAATTTCACGGATGGACCTATTGCACAGGTGGCAACCTATCATGGTACTACACTTGAATTAACGCTTGGATACTCCTGAGAGCGACCCATTCTTTCACAAATATTTGTAGAAGCAGTCTGCATGCATAGGTGCTATTGTATACACCTGTGGCCATGGAGGTGATTGAAACACCTGAATCCAATGATTTGGAGGGTTGTCCCAATACTACTTTAGCAATATAGTGTATATAAATATATAGATAGATAGATAGATAGATAGATAGATAGATAGATAGATAGTTAGAAATAGATAATAAAGATATTCCAAAAATATGTGGCAAAAAATAAGGTTTTCCAATGACTCAATATGCCTCTCAGAAAATACCTTGGGGTGTCTACTTTTTATTTATACTGACCTTGCATTTTAGGGCATCCAAAAAAGTAACAGTTAGTCAGGAAATCAAATGAGCGAGTTACGCCCTTTGAAAGCCTGAAGGTGATCATTGGATTTTTGGACCCAGATATCTCCTTGTAAAAGTAGTGGTGATATCATCAATGTACTGTGCATAGTCTGTGCAGACAGCGGAGCTGTGGGAGGGTCCCAGCAGGCTTCATCCACTACAGGCCATCTCCAGAAAACTACAGGAACGGGTGGAGACAAACAAAAATGCTGTGTGTGTGTGTGTGTGTGTGTGTGTGTGTGTGTGTGTGGGGGGGGGGGGTTCCCCTTTAAAATCTATAACAGACCAAAAGGGCTTTGTATGGATGGGGGAGGGGACTCCACGCTGTTTATTTTCAAACATTTTTAATTGTCGGGCAATGCTAACAATTCTTTTGTGAATGAACACAATGAGGTAGATTAGTCTTTCATTTATAGGATGTTTTCTTATTGTTTCAAAATCAATTTTATTGAAAGTACTAGGAAATATATGTTCAAATCTAACACCTATTTATACTTCACAGGTTAGATGCAATGTTTTGGGCAATCACAGGGCATGATGACATCACAAGGGGCGTGTCCCCCTTGTGATGTTGTCACCTTATTTAAGGGTCGAGGGCGGAGCGGCTTTTTTTTTTTCTTGCGACAACATGCCCTGTGATTGGCCAAAACATTGCATCTGACCTGTGGTCAGGTGCAATGCTTTTGCCAATCACAATGCACTGTCAGATCGCAGTGCCATCTTAACAGTATAATGGGCCCCTGGGCAATGTAATACACTGGGTCCCCTACAATCCTGCCCCAATTTACGCACCTACTTTCAAGAATTAAAGTATAAATAGGTGTTTGATTTGAACATATATTTCCTAGTACTTTCAATAAAATTGATTTTGAAACAATAAGAAAACATCCTATAAATGAAAGACTAATCTCCCTCATTGTGTTCATTCACAAAAGGAAAGGGCTGCTAAATATGACTTGTAATATAAATTTATATAATTTTTTTCACACAAATAGAGCTTTCTTTTGGTGGTATTTGATCACCACTGGGTTTTTTATTTTCTATTATAAAAGTGAAAAAAGACTGAAGATTTTGAAAAATAAAGCAATATTTTCTACATTCTGATATAAAATATATCTAATAAACAAAAAATAAAAATCAGATTTTCTTCATAAATTTAGGCCAAAACATATTCCGATACATGTTTTTGGTACAAAAAAAAAAAAAATCCCAATACATGTATATTGATTGGTTTGTGTGAACGTCATAGCATCCACAAACTATGGGATATATAATACATACTGGAATTTACACATCTATGACGCTATACTGGTAATGGCGCTGATCAGCGACTTATAGTGGGACTGTGATAGTGTGGTGAACAATCTGGTGCTAACAGACCCTCACAGGGAGGTACACTGACTAACTGACTTTAATAGTGACACTAATACAAAGATCAGATATAATATTGTACTACTGGCACTGGCCAGGAATGGGTTAACATCTAGAGGTTACCTTTGTGCCTATCAAGTGTAATATGTCTAATATGTGTTGATTTTACTTACAGATCTGGCTGTTTTTTCTCCCTGCTTTTCAGGGAGGAGAAACAGCCAGATCACTGTCCTGTGTGTTTTTAACCACCTCCCGCCCGCCATATAGTAATATGATGGACGCAAGGTGGTTCTCTCGTTCTGGGAGGACGTCATATGATGTCCTCCCATTCTAACCGTTCATGCGCTCCAGGAGCCGTGCAGGACAGGCAGTGCGGTGATCGGCAGTGCGCTGTGTCCCTCAGACACAGCGGATAACCAATCCACGGAAAGAGCCGAAGATGTCGGCTCGGTCATGTGATCCGCTGTGTCCAATCACAGCTGATCACATGTAAACAGGGAAATTCCGGTTATCGGCATTTCTCTCCTCACGAGCTGTCACGCTGACAGCTCGTAAGGAAAGGAGAGCCGGTAATCGGCATTCCTCAGAGGGGACATGTACACAGATCATCAGAGCACTGATGATCAGTGTGCCCTGATGATCAGTGTAGCCTGATGATCAGTGCCCATCAGTGCCAGCTCTCAGTGCTCATCCATGCCACCTGCCAGTGCCCATCAGTGCCACATAAGTGCCACATTTCAGTGCCACATCAATGCCACATATCAGTGCCCATCTGAGCTGCCTTTCAGTGTCACCCATCAGTGCCAGTCAGTGCCACCTATCAATGCCAGTCAGTGCCGCCTATCAGTGTGCACAGTGCCGCATATCAGTGCACGTCAGTGCTGCCTATCAGAGCCGCCTAACAGTGCCAGTCAGTGCCGCCTATATCAGTGCCAGTCAGTGCCACCTATCAGTGCTGCCAATCAGTGCCACCAATCAGTGCCAGTCAGTGCCGCCTATCAGTGTGCATCAGTGCCGCATATCAGCGCACGTCAGTGCTGCCTATCAGTGCCGCCTAACAGTGCCAGTCAGTGCCACCTATCAGTGCCACCTATCAGTGCCACCTAACAGTGCCATATATGAGTGCTGCCTTTCAGTGCTCATCAGTGATGCCTGTCAATGCCCATCAGTGCCACCTACCAGTGCCTCCTCATCAGTGGCCATCAGTGCCACCTATCAGTGCCCATCACTGCAGCTTCATTAGCGCACACCAGTAAAGGAGAAAAATCACCTATTTACAAAATTATATAACAAAAACTAAGAAAAAACGTTTTTTTCAAAATTTTCTGTGGTTTTTGGTTTGTTTAAGAAAAAACAAAAAAAACACCAAAATAAAGCTCTATCTGTCACAAAAAAAATTATAAAAAAATTCATATGGTTACAGTGTTGCATGACCGCGCAATTGTCATTCAAAGTGCAACAGCGCTGAAAGCTGGAAATTGGCCTGTGCAGGAAGGGGGTATAAGTGCCCTGTAGGCTAGTGGTTAAGCACAGAACTCTGTGTTGTGATTGGACACAGCTGACCGATAGGTTTCTTTCAAAATCATTGGGTGAAACCTGTTGATTAAATCATGCTATGTCCAATCACAGCATGGGTTGGCAGTGGGCATGGGTGTGCGACCAAAAACCTAGAAGACAGGAATGTCGTCTGGTCTGCCAGTGCCGCTTACCCTCAATGAAACTACTGTGGCTCGGTGGCAAATATATAGTGAACATGTAACAATCAAAGTGAACATGCATCAATACAAAGTCTCTCAAAATTAATCTCTTCAACTTGAATAAAGAGCAAAACTTCTCTCTTCATACAGATTAAATTCTCCACCAAACAACCACCAGATGTACCCTCACCTGGAGTTTTTGACTTTACATCATGTCAGGTCAAAAAACGCATGTGTCCCAAGAAGGGGATACGTATTGGTATAAGTATCCAGAGTGCAGGTTCTTCCTCCAGAGATCACCAGTCTCTTAATCTCTCCTCCTCTACTCCACATATATGATATAAAAGATAGGAAACACAATAGTGCTTTATCCTTAAAATAAAACTATTTTATTAAAAACTTAAACAGTGGCCACTCACATTCTTTAGGTGCACCAGATATAATGCACATATAAAAACAAGGTTGTAACCACAGGCATAGATATAAACTCTTCCACTTATCTGCTGTGACAGTGAATCGGTAAGCATTGTGATGTCATCTAACTCCTACCCTACGCGTTGTGCAGCAGGGTCACGTGGCTTCCTCAGGGGGATATGATTGGATGCCACAATGCTCTGATAGTATATATATAGCAGCCTGTGACCATTTTCCAGTAGCCCTTAATGTGATTAACATTAACCAATTAGCGGCATCCATGGCCATTTTGTTGTGGATCCATGTAGCGGCTGGTGGCCATTTTCTTGTGGACCCTCTACACTAACCTCAACATATTAGCCACTCTCGCGGCCAATGATTACATCTAACATTTAGATGACCCTACAAGTATAACCTACTATACCAAAATAATTAACTAAATTAAAATACAATATGTATGACTGTTGTAATCTATAATGCCTATTTATATGTGGCTTAATATACCGGACCCCACAGAATATGTAAGAAAACACTTCAATCCGCCGCTATAGTTGTTATATTAAAACAGTCCTCCCACACATTACCTATATGAGCCGAACATAACAAACCATCATGTTATAAAATAGAATGATGTGGATATAAATCCAAATCGGATTACTAATGATCATAATCATATTTCCAATATAAATTCAACAATATAAAATTACCTGTATATATATATATATATAGACAGTGTCATAAAACTAGGTTTTTAATTATTTTAAACTTATTTCAAAATTATTTTATGGTACACTTCCATTTTGTCAAACACCAACAGGGACTCGTATATACAAAGGACCAATCCAGTGAAGTGTGTAGTGCTATAATCTTCCCTTACCCCTGCATCTTATGTGACCTCATACAACAGATGTGACCTCCAATGGGTCCATTAATAATTGCTCAAGAAAAATGTGAGGTCAAACTCAGCATTTAGGCCATTAAGGACCAGGGACCCTAATTCGAGAATCCATCTGGATTCCTTCTTACTTAATTCCTTAATCTTCTGATCCCCTCTCCAATGTGGTTTATATACTTCTACGACCCAAAATTGTAACAAACTTCAATCTTTTTGATGGACTAATCTAAAATGGTTGGACAAATGATGTTTTTTATACCTTCTACTGATATTTTAATCTTGTTCCTTCACTCTTTCTTTCAATGCTTGCTTTGTCCTACCCACATAAAAATATCCACATGGACACATCAAAATATGCACCACTCCCTTGGTATGGCAAGATATTAAATCTTTGATGATGTATTATTGCCCTGTACTGGGGTTACATAACGTCTTTCTTCTCTTATTGTTTTTTCCTAACCTTGACACAACTGTAACAATGGCCACAAGCAAAAAACCTTTTCCATCAAAAATGGTGTGCTTTTAATTTTTTTTAGGTGGATCAATTATATTATGAACCAATCGGTCTTGGAGTGTAGGTGCTTTTTTATATAGAAAATCTCGGGTTAATGGGAATATTAGTTTTTAAATGCTTATCATGATGAAGAATGGGCCAATATTTACGTATAATGCGCTCTACTTGTTTATATTGTAGATTATAATTCATGAATACTACTAAACCCCTATCCTCATTGATTCTCTCTTTATTTGGCAATATATCCATTCTGCTCATATTACTCACCTATATCCTCTCCTCCTTGAGACGAGATGAGTCATAACCTTGGTTGGGGAACATGTTTATAAGCTTATTAGTTTGTTCTTCATAGTCTTCATCCTTAGTACAATTCCTTCTAATTCTTACAAACTGTCCTTTTGGAATATTGAATATAATCATGGTCTATAATGGCAACTATTATTCGGTATATAGAAGTTTCTGTCTGTATATTTAAAATACGTTTTTGAACTGATCTGACTATTGCTAATTATTACCTCCAAATCAAGAAGATTAACATTCTTCTTACTAATATCTGCTGTTAACTGGATGTTCCTATCATTATTATTGAGGCCCTCAATAAATACATTGAGGTCATCCTACCCACCATTTCATACAAAGCTCAAGTCATCAATAAATCTTCTGTACAATTTAATTTCCGGTCTAGGATACCGGAAAATGCATTCTTCCTCCCATTTAGCCATGTACAGTATATATTATTGACACTAGGCACAAATTGTACGCCCATAGCAACTCCCTCCTCCTGTAAATAATATTTGTGATTATATCAGAAATAATTATGCCTTAACCTCCTTAGCGGTTTTCCCGAGTGTAGCTCGGGGTAAAATTTGAATACCAAGAGCGGTAACCCCGAGCTACACTCGGTCTTACCATGCGGCGTTGCTCAGGGGGTCTCTGCAGCACTTACCTTGTCCTTCGCTCCCACGATGTGTCCCCTGCAGTGTCCCCAGCCATCTCCTCTGGCCGATGCCGGCATCCGGCTTCCGTGTTCCGGTCCCTGTGATGTCGGGACATACGGGCGCCGGAATTGGCGGGAAATTTGAAATTTTTAAAAAATGTCATTTTTGCTGTCATTGCTGTTTCAATGCATTTCACATATATTTTGTCCCTACTGCTTTGTCCTGCGCCCTGCCTGCATTTTGACTGTTCTTCTGCCTGGAAACTTAGAAAAGTCCATGGCGTCCAAAAAGCGTCCCTTTACGTCAAAAGCGGTTTTAGAACAGCGATAGTAAATCAGAACCACTTGCAGAATTGAGTGATAATGATTCGTGGGGAAATTCGTCATCAGACACGGAAAACGATTTTGCGACTTTGCTCAGTGATGTGCAAATTTGCCTCTGTATTTCAAATTTCAGTGTTTTTTGGTTTGATTATATTATTGAATTAAATTTATTATTATTATATTATTATTTTTTATGATTATTTATTAAATTATAATTTATGATTTCGTGTTTCAAGTTTTATCATACCCGGGATGTTTACTAGACTCTTGTTCGGACAGATTTCAGTGAGTTATTCCTAAAAATTACAGCCTACAATAAAAAACTACATATTTCCATGCAAAAAAATGATACCGCTTTTTCAGCACAAAAAATCGAAAAGAATCATACCGCCAAGGAGGTTAAACAGAAATCCAAACTTTTTATAATAAACTTTTTGTGTACCTGAGAAAGATTAGTATTCTTATTGAGCATCCATTTGATAACTTCTATCGCTCCTGCATGGTTAATATTGGTGTAAAGGGATGCTACATCCGCCGTGATAAACATTGTGTCATTAGATACCTCTATTGATTGAAAAAGCTGTAGTATTTGCTTGGTGTCTTTCAAATAGGCCTGTGTGCCCTGTACTATGGGTTGTAGGAAAAAATCAATGTATTCTCCTAAAAGAGCAGATAGGGAATCTATCCCATTGATAATGGGCCTCCCAGGTGGATTTTGACTGTTTTTGTGAATTTTGGGAATATAATACATCACTGGTATTTTACATGTGAATGGTATTAAATATCTTTCTTCATGTTTATTTAGTACTCCTTTTTTAACCCCATATTTAATAATCTTTTCCAATTCTATCGTATATTGTTTAGTGGGATTACTATGCAATATCTCATAAGTATTGCTGTCACTCAATAATTTTTCCATTTCATTAGTGTATTGTTCTTTATTTAAAATCACAATCCCACTCCCTTTGTCAGCTGGGCAGACAACCAGGTTTTTCCTACTTTCCAAAGATTTAATACCTATCCCAATGGCCCCCTCATCATAGTATTTTTTTTAGTTAGTTTTACTAAATCATCACTGACTGGTCAATCCGTGTGCAGATTGCTTCGTTTACAGTAAGAGACTCAGAGCAACGGAGGAGGGGGGGGGGGGGTGCTCGGACAGTGAACTCACCAATTTTGCAGCCT